TGGCGTGGCCGCTCTGTGAGAACTCGGGCAGCTTGACCGTGGCGGCTGCCCCGGCCGGTTGATGGACCTGGGTCGACATGGTGGTTGAGGAGACGCCGGACTGTGCTGCCTCAAACATGTTCTAAAATGGGGTCACCAATGTGGCAGTTGAAGGATGACTCTGATACCTTACTGATGTGGATGAAATGTATTCATATTTTATAGAAGTATGCAACATACATAATCATGTTTTAAAAAGATCATAAGAGATGTGCTAAAACATATAATCAGCTTGAACATAAAATGCTGCTTAAAGCTAGAACTGAAAACATGCAGATGTAGAGAAGGAGCTGCGAGGTTGAGATAAAACCAAGGTTGGTTGTGAAAAGAGGAGTACTTGGTGTGGTGGGAAACAAACTTTTAGAATACAATTTGACAATGGCTGGATTCATAGTTAGAACACAAGGCCCCAACAGCAGCACCTGGGCGCGATAAGAACAGGATGAGAAACTAACGGTGTAGATGCAGTTGCCAAAAAGAATGTAGGACTGTGTGCAGAACAAATGAAGTCTGTATTGCTTGATATGTACCACCCCTGGATATGTGTGTCAATAAAACGAGCCTGAGTTTGTGGAGAGAGCAGGATTCAGCAGTCGACCCCCTGACTCTCCGCTGGACCCTCCCTGTGCACAGGCGAACTCGAGCAACGACTTTTGTCTTTTCTTTATACTTTGTGAAAGTTCTTGATCAACGAATCCGGGGTGGTAAAACCTTACCACAACACTGATAATAGAAACCTTATATGTACAATACAAACCAAGTAGTCAGACAAAAAAAAAAGGACTTTAGCCTGTCTTTAAGATTCCATTTACAGCCTTCAGAAAATGAGGCTCATGGTGAAAGACTTTGGCCGATCACAGGACACTTGGAAGGTCAATGCATAAGTGGTTACAATGGTTGTATAAAATGCCTGTTTTATGACAATTGCCCCACGTAACGTTTGCTCTGTGTCCACATTATTATATGTAACAGTCAATGCTTTTATGAATTAATGATTCTAACTATTCAAGGACAGTGAATCATTAAAAATGTAAGCAACTGAAGATAAATTACCATATTTTCCTGAGTATAAGTCGCAAACCCATCCAAAACAGAAAAAAGTGTGACTTATAGTCTGGAATATACGGTAATCACAAAAGAATTAGAGCCCTGTTGGCTCTGTTGCCCTACCGAAGGAGGATTTGCGTAGCTGATAGGACTCAAAGCTCTCCTGAAGACAGGTGTAGCACTGAGTGAGCTGCTCTTTCTTGTGCTCCAGTTCAAGCTGCAGGTCCAGGTTCTGCTCAGCCAGGGTTCGGTTGTTGGCCAGAGTTTTCTCTTTGCTCTGCTGGACATCCTGCATCTGGAAGAAATATAATAATGACTTCTGTTTACCAAGTACACCATAGATTTTATGTGATATTTTTATTGCATTTGATAGAAAGTGTTCCAACTTTATTATAACTAATTATTGCATCATTGTTATTATGAGAGACATAAAACAAAAAGGCAGAAGTCAGTAGAAATACAATTTCAAATAACACTTCAGCAAAAAGGAACATGTATGATATCAGTGTTATAATACTTTTTCTACAAGTCACACTTGTATGTTACAAATGTGACTCTGGTATTTCCTTCTACAATTAAGAACATTACTTACTAAAAGCAAACAAGTCAACATTGGCGGGGCGTAATTGGAAGTTCACATTTAAACAATGTAAATGTAAGAAAATTAGATGTAAATAAGAACAATGTATACATTAGTGGTGGGGCAGTGGTGGCTTAGTGGTTAAGGAAGCGGACTTGGGTCCGGAGGGTTTCAGATAAAAAAAATATGGCTGAAATTAGATATTTCACACAACCAACACATTTCAAGTGTAAATAGTTTCATAAAAAACAAGCAAAAACGTGTAGGTAAATGCTAAACATACAGTATAACAAAGAATGTTTTGACCAAGGCACTCATCGTGTGGTATGACTTCAAACTGCATGGGAAAAACATCACCATGCATTTACATCAAATCAAACTAATAACCATGACACCTATAGCCATTATATCCTGTGGTGAACTTATGCTCTCTTTTGTTACTATTTCTTAAGAAAACGTCACAGTATTTTGATATACACGATATGATTTTTGCACTACATAGCCCAGCCTTAGTCAAGTTCTTGTGTCACCAGAGCAAAGCAACAGTTTAGATATGAACCGAGAGCGCAAGTGCTTGGGGAGTTCCTGTGGTGAACTTATGGCAGGACCAGGTGAGCCCATTAAATGTAAGCCCAAATTTAAATGGCATCCATAGCTACAAGCTGGTGTAATTATACCAAACACGTAATTGTCTGCGGCTTGGCGGTAATGATCTCCAGTGTTCCACAAGCTCTATAAAGGACAGTAATAATCAGAAGAATGCAGGTTATGAGCTAGGACCACAGACCTGCAGATCTGGAAATCTGGGCCAGTAAACCACAATTAGACTGAGATCTTTATAAACTATACCCACAGGAGGTTTGAAGGGAAATTGTTATAAAAGGAAGAAAACCTGAAAATGTAGGCAAAGGCAACTCTTGAAAAGACTTGATCCTTAACACATGATAAAGGAGTAGGTTAGACCATAAAGTAGTTAATTTAAAGAGGTCTCAATCAATATTTTAAGTCATTTTGAATTGTGTCAAGTGCAAAGACATCAAAGTAGTACATCTGTACATGAATAACTAATATTTTATAATATTTATTATGATGTGAGATAAAAACTACATGATGTGCAGTCTTCTACTGACATTGTAGCAGGGCGAAGAAAGCGCAGGAGACGGGAGTGAGTTTACTCTATATTCCAAAAGCGCAGATCAACTGACTTCAACAACTCAGCGTGCCAAAACATAGGCACCGTAAACCACGCCCCCAGCCCACAGTCCTGTAGGGTGAGAGGCATCCCTTGCAGTGCATGCCACACAGCCCCCCCCGAACACCCAGAAGGGACTCCCAAGACAGAAATCAGTTATCTAGCACAGGCTTAATCAGTCTGCCATAACGGCTGAATTTTAACTTAGGGCCTCCTGCAGGTGAAAAAACAAGAAAGAAAGAAAAAACCTGGGCCGGAAACATAACTTCGTCTGCTACCATGTGTGCTGGTTTGAGTCTATCTACCGTAACCCGTTCTCTACGTCCACCCATATCCAGGACAAAATGCTTAGAGCCTGTCTCTAGAACGCGAAAAGGTCCGTCATAAGGAGGTTGTAGGGGAGAGCGGTGAGAATCGTGACGTACAAAAACAAACCTAGCCGACTTGAGCTCCGCAGGGACGAACGATTTCGGAAAACAGTGGTGCACAGGACCCGGAGTGAGACCATTTTCGAACAAAACCGGCTTTGTAACCGGTGGCCGTTGCGGAACTGAACCTTCAGGTAAGAACTCGCACGGGACCCGCAGCGGCTGACCAAAGACCAACTCTGCCGGGGAGGCATTTAGGTCCTCTTTGGGGGCCGAACGCAAACCGAGCATCACCCAATGCAAACGATCCGCCCAACCACTCCCGGACAACGCCGCCCGCAATGCCGCTTTGAGTGAGCGGTGAAAACGTTCACACAAACCGTTAGCTTGAGGATGGTACGCGGTGGTACGGTGGACCTGAACACCCAAGGACACCGCCAATGCTGACCACAATTCGGACACAAATTGAGGACCCCTGTCGGATGTGATATCTGACGGCGTACCGAAACGTGAAACCCAGGCTGAAAGAAACGCGCGCGCCACATCCGCAGATGTCGTGGAAGACAGAGGGACTGCCTCTGGCCACCTGGTGGTACAATCCACCATGGTAAGCAGATGCGTAAAACCGCGTGAAGGCGGGAGAGGGCCCACTAGATCCACGTGCACATGGTCAAAACGCCTGTTTGGAATTAGAAAAGGTTCGAGGGGAGCCTTGGTGTGTCGGTGGACCTTGGCCCGCTGACATGCAACACAGG